ACCCCTCCCACCACCCCATTCTTCTCATTGCATCTCCACAGTTGTGACGAAATACCCCGGCCAAAAAGCCATTCCAAGTGACAGTCTACCATTGCAGGACAGTCAAAGCAGGGACTTGAAGCAGCCAGTCAGATCCTGGCCCGTTAAGAGCAGGGAGCACTGGCGGTGTGGAGGCTTGTGCTTAGAGCGCCTACAGCCCGCCTTGACTGGGTCTGCCCATGTTCAAGAAAATCAGCCACAGACCAATCTGATCCAGGCGATCCCTCACTGGGACACTCTTCTTGGGCGGCTGTGTCAAGTTGACGGTGGAAACGACCACACCCTCTAATGTGCCCCCAGGCTTGGCTCCTTGCTTGACTCAAAAATTGTCTCTAAATGTAACCAACCTGACAACACCTGCTCCTCACAGTCTCCCGTCCTGGTAAAACTCAAGAGTTTTTTTGTTTTTGTTTTGTTTTACGGAGGAAAGGGTTTATTTTACTTGTATTCCCACATTACTACTCATCATCAAAGGAAATCAGAGCAGGGGCTCAAACAGAAGCGGGAGCTGATGTAGAGACCATAGAAGACTGCTGCTCACTGACTTGCTCCTTACGGTTTGCTCAGTCTGATTTTTTTACTTTTTTTTCCTCAATATTTGTTTTTATTTAAATTAGAAACATGAATGCTTCACATGTCAATTCCAGCTCCCTCTCCCACCCCTCCTCCCTTGTCCCTCCACCAGCCCTCCCTTCCCCCCCACCCAATCCCCACATCATTCCCCAGGGAGGGTGAGACCCTCCATGGCAGCGATCTCCTAAGTCTGTTATTTCATCCTGGGCAGGACCTAGGCCCTTCCCCATGTGTCCAGGCTGAGAGAGCATCCCTCTATTTGGAATGGGCTCCCAAAGATCATTCATACAATGGTAAACACTGATCTACTACCCAAGGCCACAGTGATTTCTGTGGCCTCCTCACTGGCACTACATTCATGGAGTCTGAATCAGTCCCCTGTTGGCCTCTCAGCCATCAGTCTGGGGTTCAAGAGTCCCCCTTATCCAGTCAGCTGTCTTTGTGGGTTTCACCAGCACGGTCTTGACCCCTTTGCTCATCACTCCTCCATCTCTGTCACTAGGTTCCAGGAGTTCAGTTCAGTGTTTAGCTATGGGTTTCTGTCTCTGCTTCCATCAGTCCCTGGATGAAGGTTCTAGGATGGCATATAGGGTAGTCATCAACCTTATCATCAAGGAGGGGCAATTAATGTAGTCTCTCCACTATTACTTAGTTTTCCAGTTGGTGTTATCCTTGTAGATCTCAGGAGATCTCACTGATGTCAGCTGTCTCCTCAAGCCTATAATGACTGGATCTATTATGGTATCTCTCATCCTACTCTCCTCTATTCTTACCTCGACTCAACTTTCCTGCTCCCCCATGCCTTCTTCTCCCCTCCTCTTATCCCCCTCTCTTTTTCCTGGCTCCCTCTCCCCTCCCCCGATGTTCCTAATCTGCTCAGGAGATCTTGGCTCATTATACTTCTCTGGGGTATCATGCATCTCTTTTGGGAACCTCCCTATTTCCCAGACTCACTGGCACTGGGATTGTAGGCTGGCACTCCCCTGATCCATATCTAAAGTCCATATATGAGTGAGTAATACAATGTTTGTCTTTTTGTGTCTGGGTTACCTCACTCAGGATGGTTTCCTCTAGTTCCATCCATTTGCCTGCAAATTTCAATATTCCATTGTTTTTTTCCACTGAGTAGAACTCCATTGTGTAAATGTACCACATTTTCTCTATCCACTCTTCAGTTGTGGGGCATCTAGGTTGCTTCCAGGATCTAGCTATTACAAATAATACTGCAATGAACATGGTAGAACAGACATCCTTGTTGTGTGAATGGGCATCTTTTGGATATATGCCTAACAGTGGAATTGCTGGGTCTTGTGGTAGACTGAGTCCCATTTTCCTGAGGAATCTCCATACTGATTTCCATAGTGACTGTACGAGTTGGCACTCCCACCAGCAGTGGAGGAGTGTTCCCCTTTCTCCACATCCTCTCCAGCACAAACTGTCATTGATGCTTTTGATTTTAGCCATTCTAACAGGAGTAAGATGATATTTCAGAGTTGCTTTGATTTGCATTTCCCTAATGGCTAATGATGTTGAGCACTTTCTCAAGTGTCTCTCAGCCATTTTATACTCCTCTATTGATAACTCTCTATTTAGTTCAGTCCCCCACTTTTTAATTGGATCCTTTGGTGTTTTGGAGACTTGCTTATTGAAAACTGAAGAGTTTTTACCAAATACCCTCAGACCCAACTGTTATTCCTCTGGCGCAGTTCTACCATGTAACCAGAAGGTGGCAGCAAAGACCATGCTTCTGGTAATGCGGAGTCTGCAAACATTTCCCAGCCCTGGTCAGCAGGCGGCTTCTGACAGGATTTGCTGTAATCTGACAGGAGCTGTCCCGAGGCTGTGTTTACAGTTCTCCTGAATAAACAGAAGATGTCCCATGTCCAAGGTCCAGGGACAGAGAAGAAGCGGAGGTGTAGGTGTTGGCAGGAAAGCAGAGGATTGCTTTGGAATTCCCAGCTCTGAGTTCCATTGCCATTGTGACCCTGTACCTTTGGGGTAATTAACATGGCTGCCTGTGACTCAGTTTCCTCATCTATATCCTGCTAGATCTATCTCCCATGCCTCTCTCCTCAACATGTCAGCTCAGCAATCAAGGCTGGTCCTAGTGACTGCCCTCAGTCTTCCAAGTATTTATTGTCTGACTGTCTGGCTGACTGTCTGGCTGTCTGGCTGACTGACTGACTGACTGACTTACTGACTGACTGACACGTAAGATATGTAGTAAGTACTCACTGAGAATTAACTGTGATGATGACATCACAGTAGGGGCGACGATGTCATATAAGGTGTGGCATGGTAAAGATGGTGTTGTGTTGAACATGATGTAAATTGAAGATGTCATGTTGAAAATGATGCTGTCCTGAGGGTTATAGTGCTCTGACAAAGTTGATGGTGTCATAGTGAAAGACGGTGACGTCATGAAGTTGGTGGCGTCATTGTGGTGATTTGGATGAGAATGCCTCCCCCCTGGACTCATCTGTTGGGATAATTTGTTCTCAGTTGGTGGAGCTGTGGATTAGGATTAGGAGGTGTGGCCATGTTGGTGGAGGTGTGTCACTGGGAGTGGGCTTTGAGTTTTCAAAAGCTACCCCATTCCCAGTTAGTCTCTGCCCTCTACTTTTGGACAAAGATGTAAGCACTCAGCCACTGCCTCAGTGCCGCGCCCGCCTGCCTGCCTGCCAGCCACCATGCTCCCTGCCATGGTGGTCATGGGCTCTAACCTTCTGCAACTGTGACCCCAACTGTAACATTTTCTTTTTATAAGTTTCCTTGGTGTTGTGTCATGTGGGGACCACAGACTCTGGCCGGAAACCCACTCCTCCATCAGCCTGGGAGCAGACAATGTTTACTGAAAACAATCCAGTGCCATAAGTTCCTGATAAGGGCTCTATAAGGGCTGGCTCACTGAAACACCCTGACTTTGATCTTCCCGATGGCTAGCCACTTTCTGCTCCCTGCTGTTCCCGATTCTGGTGTCAGAGATTTAACCACCAGCCAGGAGGAGAAAGAGAGATGTGTGGGAGATTTGTGCGTGTATGTTTGGCAGAAGCTTTTCTGGAGGGAAGCGTTTTCTTGGGAAGTTCTCCTAAGCTGATTTGGGGAGCATAAAGTTTTCTTAACGCAACCGACCGGTCTCTGTGTTATCTATCCCGACGCCCACGCCACATTCTCGGATACAGGCTGCGCAGCAGGCGCGGCAGTGTCACAGCAATAGAAAAGTAGCCAAGACAGTGGTTAGGATCTTGAGTCCCGCAGTGATGTCACTGGTGACTATGATGATGTCATTTGAATGGCAGTGTCACATGAGGATGGTGACATACATGTTAAAAGATGCAATGCCATGATGCTGAGAACGGTGCTGTCATCCAACAACCCCACCAATGGCCATGAAATCCACTGACCCACCGGCAACTCCGGGGGTTCCTTCAGCCCTCTGCCTCCCATCCCAGCAGGGTCCCAGTGACCCCTCCCCGAGCACTGCCAAGCTCCACCCACACAGAGAGCACTCTCATGCCAGGCCTGGGGAGGGCTGACACCTGGCATTCGCTGGACACAGACACCGAGGTGACCATCCAAGGGCTGACTGTGTTTCGAGGGTTGTTCTTACTGACTGCAGCGGCTGCCTGCTCCTCTTCCTGCTGGGGGTCTCTGGGCAACCCTGGAGGAGTGCGGGGGACCAACGCTGCCCACCTGAGTGGTCTAGAGGGTCTCCGGGACGCATCTGCTAACATTTCCAAAGTGAGCCCCTCATTGTACCAGAGTGCCTTTCCTACGGAGATCCAGGCCGGACTCCTCCCAACTCCTCTTCCCTCCCTCACTCCCTCCCTCCCCTCCGCGCTCCATTTTCCTCCTCCATGTTCCTCTGCCACCCCACCCCCTCCTCTGCCACCCCCACTTTCTCTTCTACTCCCCACTCCCTGCCTCCACCCTGCTTCCCTCCCCCCACCCCCACTTCCTCCCCTACTCTCCTCTCTCCTCCCCTTCCTCCTCACTCCCCCCCTCCTCCACCCCCTCCACTCAAGCTCTGGCTGGAGTGGCCGCTCAGGGAAGCTTCCCTCCTTGGTGTTAGGACCCCAGAGTCTGAGCTCTCCCTGGCGCTACCCACTGTGCCCTCCCGTCTGTGCCCAGGCTGTGTGAAGCTCAAGGCGGCATTTGAGGTCCAGGAGCCCGGCATGGCCCTAAGCCTGCTTAGAGAAGCCATGCTGGAAGGCAGGGTTGCTGTTGAGGGCAAGGTGTGCCAGTGCCGCTGCTGTCCACCTTGGCACACGTTAACTGAGCTCTCTGACCCACCCGACCTTTTCCCAGAGAAGAGAGGCTGATCAAAGGTCAGGGCTGAGGACAAATGAAGCGAGAGAAAGCACGGACTGAGTTACGGAGCCCCAAGGTGGTGAGGATTGGCATTTATTTCAGGTGATGAGGGTCCCACACTCCCTCTCCTCTTGCACACGCACATGCGCGTGCACGCGTGGGAATTCCAGAGAGCACAAAGACAGCAGCAGCCAGCAGAGCTTCCCCACGGTGGGCAACACGGCCCTCTGGCCTCTGCGAACGGCGTTTGAGGAAGAAAAGGTTGTCATTCACTGAGATGGGTTCAAAAGGCTCTGGGCCTAAGGATTTGACCAAACTCAGACAGCCTGGTCCTGCCCCTGGCTCAGGCTGAGCACTCTCGCTGCTGCCAGGAAGGCCGCCCCAGTGAGCAGCTCAGAGACAAAGCTAATCCAGCCGAGGGCCAGGGACCAGCCAAAGCGGATGTCCACCTGGTCCAGCAGGGCCCTCTCCTCCAGGAGGCATGCTGCCTCCCGGAAGGCGGCCGCTGAGTAAGCGGTGTAGATGCTGAGTCCAGAGAGGGTCACCATGGCTGCAGGGAGAGACCAGCACAGTCAGCCTGAGCTTCGGGCCGCCCCTCCTCCCTACTCCTCCAGCTCCTACCGCCCTGTGAATGGGAACTCTGGGACAGAAGCTATGTCAGCGATTCTGACTGATGGAGTCTAATGACGTGGTGGAGGGCTGTACCAACCAAAGGGCTTACAGCGCTGTCAGAGAGCACCGAGGCCTAGAGCAGGGTGCTCCCCACCTGGCTATAACTCGCCTACCCCATGGTACCTACCAACGTTTTCTTAAAAGTGTCACGACTTACGGCTTCCTTTATTCTGCTGCCATAAAACCTTCCTGGAATCGCTACTTCATTGGGGCGCGTTTGTGGAGACCTAAATCTATGTTCCCAGGCCTTGGTCATTCATATTCAGCTCCGGAAAAAGACCACAGCTCCTCTCCTTTTGACAGAAGAGCTGTTGTTTTCCGTACACTCTCCCCTTTTCCTCTGCCTCCCACGCTTGTCCCCTCCTTGTCCCCCTTGTCTTCCTCCCTCTACCTTCATCTCCTTTCTCCCTCACTTCCTTTCCCTCTG